GCACAACTGTTTTCAACATTGATAATAATAAAAATGTATCTTGAGCACAGAATCAGCATATTAGAATGATTTCTGAAGGATCATGTGACAGTGAAGACTGGATTAAAGGCTGCTGAAAACTGAGTGTTGCCATCACATGAATAAATTATATTTCACAATTTATTAAAAACAACAACAGTTACCTCCAGTATTTAATAAAATGTAATGGGCAAAAAAGGAGAAATTTCATGTTAAAAATTCAATGACAAAAATCATATTACAGGTACACCGCCTTTGCTGTCAGGTCACTTTTTAAGGTGATGTTTAGGGCAGATCTGAAGCTTGCAAGGTATATACTCTCCCTGCTGGGTGTGCTTGTCAGAGGGTCTTTTACAAATCAAATGCCTGGCTTGACTTCCTGAGTCTTGTTCAAGTCCCTCTGAAGCATGTCACTCTGCTGGGGTGCATGACCTCAAAGAGATAAAAGAATACTGTATACACTATTCATGGGCTTGAAACAGGGGTCAGGGGGTCATTTTATATGTCTTCTTGTCTTTCACAGACATACAGTCAACAGCTAAGACAGTGGCCATATGCAGATAGCCACCTCCTCTAGCTGAAAACAGGAAGAACAGGAAGCCTTCCTCTTGTGCTCTCCACACAGACCCGTATGACCCTCCCCCTCTCGCTCAATCGTATCCATGTCCTCGCGAGGCCATATAATCAGTCCACCGCCTTATAAGCTGAGTAACCGAGAGGGAAAGCTTCAAAGACCCTGCAGCACACGAGCTGGGCTGTTGCCAGCAAACAACCAACAGATATTGGCTTAGGCAGTGTAAAAACAAACATGTGCAAGATTTTTTTTTATAGTATAACACCGATTAGATTATGAGAGAGAAGTGAAGTTATTGCACCTGCTCAGAGAGGGCGAGTTGGAAAATTGCCAGTTACTCTCAAAACCAACACTACAGTGTTTTTGTCATAACTGAATTGACAAATTTCCTGCATGTGGTTTTGTTTGTAGGGATCTTAAAGCTTGGCAAAGTGTAACCGGTGCTCCGTCACTCATATGATTTAGAGAGGCAAGTAGTGCGTGCCAGAGGGAGACAAATGAAAGCTGACAGTTAATTTTATCAGTGACAGATCGTTGATCTCATGGACTGCCTCCCTGGTCTCTTTTAGAAGGTGGTGAAGGTTGAATATTAGTGGATACTGATACAACCAACCGCCCCCTTCAGAATCCCAAAGGCTTTATATTCCAGCCAGCAGAATATGAGTGCAGCATGACACACTGACGCTACAAAACCAAAGTATCAGATTTCAGTAATAAAATCAACATGATATTATTTTTTGATTCATATTTTTCCTTCCCACAGCTAAATCAGTTAAACAATTTGAAAGTTTGTGTTTGTGGCATCATGAGGAAAATATTGACTGTAATTATGTTTAAAAGGGATAGTTCACACAAAAATGAAAGTTCTGTCAATATTTACTCATCTTCATATTGTTCCAAACCTGTATGACTTTATTTGTTCTTTTCAACACAAAAGAAAAAAAATAGAATGTTTTAACTTGTTTTTGACCATGCAATGAAAGTCAATGGGGTCCAAAACAGCATCGGACAGCATGGGGATGTTCATTGTGTGAAAAAAACAACCCTGGAATTTTTTTTTTTTTTTTATTCCACAGAAAATAAGAAATGCATGCAGGTTTAGAACAACATAAGGATGACTTTTTTGGGTGAACTAACCCTTTAAGCATATGCAAATGAATAGAGGTTTCTCTGAAAAAGTCTCATTTCAAACTTTTTCGGCTCAGAGGTTCCCAGAACTATCCATTTCAACAGTTTCAAATGGTCCTATACAATTTAGCCATTAGCATAAGAGAAAACTAAGAACTGAATTTATTCTACTCAAGAGCTAGTGAAAACTGTTCCTCTAAGTTCACCATGATTGGTATGTGGGTGTTGACATACACTGATACCATGGAAACTCTTTGACAAACGATCATACTTTCCCCCCATCTACTTTGGAAATATTTACCACACAGGTCCTTAAACACCCACAAAAACAGCTTCTAAGTGCTGCCTGCCTGAAGTGTCTTGTGCATGTGTGGGGAGGTTAATTAGCAGCAAGGAGCAGAACTGAGTTCAAAGGGTCAAACCAGTGACAGAGATGAGCCCAAGGCTTTGCACGGGCAGAAATGTTTTCATACCATTTAACAGGAGAGGCATTATAAGCCAATTGTTAGTAATTGAATCTCATAATGGAAAAGACGACAAACTCTGAAACTGTTCCAGTGCCTTCATATTGACCCCTGGTCTCTAGAGGGGTGTGTGACCATGTTGGAGTGTGATTTCTGTCAGGTCGGGGCAGTTGAGAGGGGGGGGGACTCTCAGATGACAGTTCTGCCCCTCCCCCAAGTGAAACGCAAATGAAAAGGAATGCAGAGATAAAAAGCCTGTGTCCCCAGATAAGGGGACAGAAGAAAGGAGTAGGCGAATGCTAAAAGAGCTCTCTTGGGGAGATGCGAGGCGCTGATGGCAGTGTTGGTGGTAGGAGATCATAGCAGGTTCCTCTCATCAGCCTAGGCCTGTGTTTGATACTGGGTCTTTGTCGCTCTTTCAGCTGTGCATTGTTGGGAGGTGTAATCCTGGGTGGATTACAAAGGCAAGATCCTTTCATATGGCTGTGCCCAGCAGGCAGGAGGCAGTGCTCATGTTGGAGGGCCACGCTCATTCCTCGATCTACCTTCACAACGGGGCCATAGCTGCAGGGACAGTGACGCAGGGGTCATTCGGTCATGTCCTCTCCTTGGAATTCCGCTCCCCCTTTTACATTCAGATGTTTTTCTTTCATGATCTCCCTCCACCCTGTACCTGTGCACAACGTCTTACACCCAACTAACTGACAAATACCACAAAATACTGAATATGAGCTCTAACATTTAGAGCCACACATTGAATTAAATCTTCCACAAAGTATTTTTTTTTTTTACTAGATTATCGTGATGCTGTACAGTAGATTTTGCTTTGAACAAACTTCAAACCCTATTAAATGAAACCCAAAGTATTATGTACATAACTCTCCGTGTGCCATCTGCAAAAATTATACCTTAAATTGTGTGGCTTGTTTGTATTTGTTAGCAAAACTGTACTTTTCCAAACAGCTAGACAGATGATAAAAGGTGGGATTAGAAGGTGGAAAATAGAGTTTTACTGAAGGATAAACGAAAGCCAAAGGGGAAAAGAAAATCATGTGATTCTATATTGACTTGAGTGAGCTCTTTTGAAATGGCCAGAAAGCAACCAGCAAGCAATGCCACAGCAACCAAACAGCAATGTTCTGGAAACAGCCCACAACACCATACCATCGTGTCAATGACTTTTTTCATAGGCAATCATCATTTAAAAAAAAAAAAAAAAATCTAGTAGGCTATTGCATTTGGTCTTCAAGGCAAGGCTTGTGTTAGTGTTAGTTAGTATAATGTATAAAGGTCCCTAGGGTAAAATATTCATTTGATTGTTTTTTTCTCCAAACACATTAAATAACAGGAAAATACACAATAGTACTTTCTTAAACACTTGTTTGTTGTTATGCAAAATGCAAAATGAACCATAAAGTCATCATGTGCAATGATGATTTTGATTAAATTAGATCTAACATATAGGCTAATCATTTTTTGACTGCACACTTATTTAGCTAATGAGAATCCCTTCAATTATCATATATATTTTGAGACAAAAAAAACTGTTTAGGATTTTTATATTTGGGCTAAAGGCCCCCTGTTTAAGAGGCTTCCTTAAAATGTAAAAAGTTACATTATGTTTTTGTTTTAACTATCTTTTTAAAATTCTTTAATTCTCTTCTCTTTATATTTTCTCTTTTTCTCTTTAATTTTTTCTTTTTATTACACATATGTGTGTGTGTGTGTGTGTATATATATATATATATATATATATATTACCCTAAATATAATAGCCTACCCTAAACTAAATTGTCCTTGCTCTGATTAAATTCAGTTATTAATGTAATAACTTTAATGTAAAGACTGAGATTGTGCTGCCCCAATGTGATGCAGTCCTTCGTCTTTCACATGCATTAAGTGCTCTCTCAGCATCAAACTGCTGATCCAGAAACTTTGCAAACAATTGTGAAAGGTAAGGAAAAGCTTTTGTGATATGATGCAAATGAATCAGAGAGACTGCACGGCATGAACAAGAGTCATTCGACTGAGGAAGTGTAGGGCAGACCGGGGTGTTATACAAGACAAAACAGTTTACAATCAACAATTTAACCAACAAAAATGAGCTGCAGGGGTAAATCTCATTACAATAAAAATATTAATTAATATTAAATAAATATAAATGTTTTTCTCAGTGTCAGGGTGCAGCCCGGTAGCGAGGTAGATTATATTGACAACAGCACTCTTTAATACTAATTCATACAGTTCAGGGTGAGTAGTAGATTTATAAAGTACTTTAATATGTTGCTCACAAATATCAACGTTACCGGTCGCCATGGGGCAGATGTGTTACGATGGGCTTGTCCCATTTGAAAAACAGTGAAGTCGTAAACATTAGCATAAAACGCTAATATTTCAGTAGACGCACGTGACCCGAGCAACACAACGATCATTTAAACAAACTAGCATCCGTAGGCCTATACCTTCTATAAACATTTTGAGTCTTTCAACGTGGAGATATCATGGCCACTACTTGCACATCAGACCGCTGATGGTGAAGTCATGATCGATGGTCATGATAAGAGAAGTGGTTAGGGCAAACAATATGATTTAAAAAAAAGTGCAGCGTTTTGATCTCGGCCGTTGCTGTCAAATCGTTACAAACGACAACACTTAAAGCGATGATAGCAAATTGAAAACGGTGTACTCAATTGTATTTTAAATGGGTGGATGGTGAAAAAAATAAAATATGGTGGCAAAGGCACATTCAGTAGTAATATTTTTTAAATTAAGTTGACATTAATTTAAGCCTCATGTCATTGTGTCACAAAGTAGTTCGCCTACATCTCTTTAGGCTCGCTTCATTTTCAGAGCAATGTGCTTTGCACTTCCTCTTCTTCTCCCCTCCGCGAACCATGTGTGTGTGTGGATATCTCTTTCGATTCCTTTTTATTTTACACTTTTAATTCATGCTGTGGGGTAACAAGTGACCAACAAGTTCATTCAGAATTTCTTTGACCTTTAATCGTTGACATCAGCATATTTTATTAGGCTTTATTTCTGTTGGAGTCTTACTCAGAGAGTAAGAGATGGGGACGGTCGTTGATGACATCAGACAGCTATTAAAAGGTATTCTCCATTGCTTCATTATTGATTGATTTTTGTGCTCTTTCAATATGCATAAACTATATATGTATGGCCTACCTATTTTTGTATGATTGTAGTTGGTCATTTTGTTTTTATTCAGGTAACTTTTGACATTTGAAAAATGTGTCAACTTGACTTGAAAGATTGCTTGTGATTCAATTACATGCTAAATTACTTTTAATGAGAATTAAAAAAACTTTTCTTTTTTTTCCCGGAAGAATTGGGAGTGTCTGCAATTGATGTGCTTTCACAAGCTAGAGTTAGTTTTCTAATTCATTGTAAACATACTGTGGTTTAAGCTCTTTAACCTTGACTACAGACTATTTTATGATTTAATTCGTTTTATTTTCTCTTTTAATTATTCTGCTTTGCTGTGTTTACCCTATACAAAATGGCACTTCACGAATGATGCCATCGTGAGATGTTATCTCTGTTCTGACACACAGACATAATGACTATTGTCATTTGCACATTCTGGCTTCTATGGAACTTGCATGAATAGAACAATCCTTTGCATATTTCAAAACATGTATGCTCTATTGAGTAGCAATTCCACATGAGTTAACCATCAGACTTTTCTCTTTCCACATGTTAAAATACAACATAAAAGTTTTTACATGTTTACTATGTTAGTTCTGGAGCAAAAACAGTTTACAATGGCATTTTTTCATTATTGTTTGCTCATGTTTGTATCTTAAAAAGCAGACTAATGTAACTTTTTTATTATTTTTTTAATTTGTAATTTTTTCAGACTGTGAGCTATTTGTTTTTGAGATACTCCAGGATGAGAATCTCAGTGATCCTACTCAAGAGGCCAGGGAAATTCTCCTACGAAATTTTCATATCATCCAAAAGAGGTGAGGGATGTCACAGTATGATTTATTCATGTGCGACTATTAGAGCTGACACATACTTGTTCCTCCTTGTTTGTACTGCACATTGAATACCATAAAAAGTAAATTTATAGGAGCAAATTATTTGCAGCTTCAGAATCTGTGCTCCCAGTTGAGCTACAAATGAAACACAACAGTTAAACAGACAGGAAGCAACTTGCACAGTTCTTCTATTGTTGTCTTTTTAGAAGCAAGGAGTACAATTACAGCGCTTGCCGGCTGGAGTGGTTTTTGTGGTTTGCTGTGCTGAAACAAGGTGTTTGCAAAGAGAAAAGCATACTTTTTTCAGCACTGGGTTACATGAATACTTAGCTGTCATTGCAACATTTGCAAACGCTGCAGTGCACTGCTTCACAGATGCATGTTTACAGATACTCAAGCTGCTATCAATTTATCGCCTCTTTGATTCTTTTAGAATTTGTAGTACCGCTTTCATTGCAGATCAGAAATGTTTATCTACTGTGACTAAGAAAGACAGTGGAACAATACAAACTATTTTTATGAACCTCAGTTATATCTGATTATAAGCATTATACAGTAATCCTTTTTTTTTTTTTTTGAACATTGCAAAGTCCATTTGGTTAGAAGGTTATTTTATCCATTACAAAATGTTCTTCTCTAAAAGCATTTTTTTTTTTTTTTTTTTTTGCAGATACCCACAAGAATTCCCCCACAGATGTAAGTGAACAGCTGTTTCATGATTCTGATTAACTGCCCACAGAGATTTCCGTTCCGATTCTGTCTTTCCCGGAACAATGGTTCTTTAGAAAAAAAAAGTCGGTTTTACAAAAATGATTCGATTTTCCTCCCACAGCATTTTCATTTTATGTATGTCTGTCGAATTAACTCAACAAAGTTTCTACTTTTATAAAGTTCTTGCTTTTTTGTTTTTATTTTTTATCCTAGTTGAATCCAATCTTGAGGATAGTTCAGATGACAACCGCAGCTCCAGTCTGGGACGCTCTGCCCCCTCAGATGATATGTCAGTGGCCTCTGACTACCAGGAGGAAGGTGCTTCTGAACGTGAGTTCAAGCCACTCTTTGTGCAGATGAGTGTGTTTACTCATATGTCTAATGCATGTAAGCTGTGATAGGTAGAGACAGGAAACTTGTCTAAAGCATCTTTAGCACATTTCTTGTTGTGGGGGTTTCACTGGTAGTGATGAAATACCCCAGTGGAGGTGTTTGGTAAGGATCACCCTCTAGTGGATTCCCACAACTCTGCTGCTGGCATTGAGGAGTGTGTAGAGGGGGAATGGGAGGGTGGCCTTTACCCTTCATACAAGAGATGAAGCACTCCCTCTAGTGGCAGGCGAGCGGGATGTTTGAGCAATGTGTGCTGCTGAGGTTCTTGGGGTTAAGCCGTGGCATGTTTGCCTGTGTTTAACAATGGTGTGGAAATGTTAGCTTTCTTGTCCTTCTGACAGCAAGTATATTTACACTTGTATAGCCTACTACAATTTGAAAAATGCAAACTGGAACAAAATTCAAAGTTTAAAGAGAGAGAAAAACAGTATGTACTGCAGATTGAAAATGGCTCGTCAAAATCTGTATTTTGTCTTTGTTGATTATTTTTTTTACTAATGTGAGCAGTTTGCTGTTGCTTCGGGCAAGATCTGTGACTGATCATCCCCGGCTCCTCTGTAACCAGCTGGTCTTGAAATTCAACCCTGTACCTGAGGGGCGTTTTATCCATTTTCTCTAATTTATCACTCACCATACAACTGACAATTTTCTCAGAGGGATCAAAAGCCTGCAGCTTTGCAGAAAAGAGCTAAAAGAAAAGAATTAAGGAATATTCAAGTCAATAGCGTTGATCTGTAGTGACCAGCTCAGAGATGATATTGTAATCCAATAAAGAGATGATACTGTAATCCTCTCTCTTTTTTTGCTAGATTTTTACTTCATAGAACAATTTTCTTCTTTTAACAGTTTTCCAGATTGAACAGAAAAAAAATGTCAGGCTACACAATTGCCATTTGTGAAAACCATAAATTATTGTTTTTATCTTGAATACGCCTTCTTGTTCACTGACACGAAACTTCTCACCACTCTGGTAAAAATGAAAACCCCATCGTTCCATTTATTTTATATGTTGTTTGTAATTTAGCAACAAAAGGGGTCAAACCTGGATGTGCTCCTTTGATTTGCTTCTTTGCTGGAAAAGGCATATAAGTCAAAGAGGAGTAACTCGAAGAAGATTTGCATCATGTCGCTCTTTCAATAAAGATAATGACCAGCAAGGGCAAGTGCAGTTCATGGTTCATGTTTAGTTCACCAGTTGGGAATCTCACATCAAACCCTATGAGAGGGCATTTGGAATTTGAGCGGGAGAGCATTTCGGAGCATATGAAATTAGAGAGAGGAATATAATCATGAAGATTAAGATTCAAATGTGCACCTTTTTCAGCAATTCAGATTTAGTTTGTTTTCTCATTTGCTTTTTATTCAATAAGGATGCTCCATGCTGAGCCCTTTTTTTGCTTAGCTCGAGTGAATGAAAACAAAATGCATATGTAATGTGAATGAGCTGGTGCCCTTGCATGTGTAACCCCTCTCTCCCGAGTCCTCACCGCCACACCTCTTTCTTGTTCCAAGTGGGTCTCGAATCCGGGTCTCCGGCATGGGAGGCGGACGCACTAACAAGGAGGCGAAAGACTGCAGCCTCTAGTGTGAGGTTTACCTGCACAGCACCTACTCGCTGACCTCCGTTACACATGCTGATATTTTCAAATTTACCCTATTGTAGCGGAGGGTAAATATAGTTCAGGCATTCAATGCTTGCACCGTTACTCGCTCCGTGATGTCACATGCTCGCCTGTGTGAGGAAGGGAAATTGACTGTGTCTGCTTGTGCTCTAACCTGACTGGAGGATGAGGCAGCCGTTGACTCGTCGATGGGAGGAGTCAGTGTTATTTCATTTAGCCAGCGCTGCTTCCCTGTCTCCAGAGGGAGGTTTGACACTAGATTTGTTATAGTTGACAGGAACAGATGGGTGCTCTATTGTCAGGGCCCCTGTCTGTATGGTAATGTGAACTGAGTTTCACCCGCAGACCGCACGGTTGACCCCACCGTGCCTGCAGCCTCCTCTGGATGACAGCAGCCCTGCAGCTGAGGATGGGAAGCCCAGGGCACAGGGAGCCTCACAGTGGGGTGGATATTTTGCCAGGTCAAGTTTAGGAAATGCAAAAGTTGTAAAAAAAACAAAACAACAACAAAAACATTCTTATTGCTTTGAATGGGCTGAGTAGATATTTGCTTGGGTTGATTGCTAAAATGATAAAAAATATTGCACACAAGACAACACACCAATCATTTGATTTCAGTAATTACAAATAGAGCAGAAAAGGTGCATGTTTTTTTCATTCTGACAGGAGTTTGTGTTTTTAAGAGGCTAATATCAATGCATGTCCTATCAAAGGCTGCACATGCTCTGGGCTCTTTGTGTGCACTGATTTGATTTATGTTCAGAAACAAAAGCCCCTCTTGTTCCTGTTATCTTACCCCGCCACAGCTCTACAGGCAAATCTGGAGAAGCCACTCAGAAAGGCCAAGGATTCAGAGTTAAGTTGTTTCTTTATCGCAAATTAGATCATCAAGATGTAAATTTGATTTTTTTTTCTTAAGATCTTAGAGCCTCTAAATTAATGGTTGTGTTGGTTAGGAAATTGATTGTTGTAATGAATCTCTGGAGAGTCCAAAAAGAGCTTGCATCAATGAAAAATGCATTTTAGCTTGGCAATTAAGCAACCCTTTAGTTTAGCAACCTAAAGTGACCAGCCTAACATGCAAATCTCATTTTCGTCACCATCACGGTTACTGTCGAGGATTTCAGCAGAGCTCTGTCCTGCAGCCTCATCTTGTCATATTTATCCTAATGCAGTGGCATGTGGCCACACCGAGGTCGAGGTGAAGTCATGTGATCATCAACAGTCGTCGTCAGCTGGTACTCATCCACGTAGCCTCTTAACTTCATACGTTTACTGTGAGTGCTTCTTCCTCCCTACAGTAAACTTTTGACCCCTGGGTCTAATTCTGGTCATTTCGTGACCTGTCTGAACTCTGTCTAGGGCAACTGAGTCTACATTATTGACCTCAGCTGCCATAGCAACAGCACAGTTCAAATAAAGTTTCACTGGCTCGGACAGGATTTGGATCCCATTTTTCAAAACCATTTTTCCCCCCCAAAAGCTTCCATCCATTCTAGTAATCGTCCATTAATTTCCTCCAATCGCGATTAATATTCCGATGCGGTTTTGTGCAGTTAGAAAGAGTAAAGTATACGGCATTGGCAGGCTTCATAGGGCACGTTAAATGACTTTGGCAAAGATGACACCATCTTTCCTATGCGCTGTCGTTTTCCCACCCTCTGTTTCCCTTCGCATTAATTAATTGAAATTGACACATATTAGACCAGAGCATACTCAGTGCATCGCTGCTGCTGCCATACAGGGTTCAAAAGTTCACTTCACTCTCAGAAGGCTACGATGCTGCAGAAATTGCTGATATTTGCTCTCGCTCCATCTCTCGCTCATTTGTAATTTCACTGTTTCACCCAAACACGCTCTCACTTTGCCTCCTGCCCAGTATACTGATCATTCGGAAGAGATTTTCAACTGTTCATGTCATATCATTGTCAGTCTATTCATTGTGCAATGATGAGTCAACAGAGCGTACATCACTATATTCATCATGCATTTTCTTTCATTGGTTAGGAAAATATTGCTTCTGTGTTCAATATAATAAGTCTCGGTCTAGTAAAAGTTAGCGTGGGTGAGGAGAGGAAGTTTTTCATGATTTGCAAGGGATGAAATAAGCAGAATAGGAAGTCACAACCTTGAGTGTCTAATCTTCTTTGCAGCCTGTCAGTATTGCAGACAAATGGCAAAACGATTCAATGCTGTGGGTTCAGCTAGAGGTTAGCCTTCCCAGGTACCTCCAGCTCTCTCTCTTTCTCTCTCTCCTCTCTCCCTTACCCATCTTGCAAATGAGAATTAGATTTTTCTCTCCACTGGATTCCATTTCTGGAGATTGATGAAGTTTCGATGCAAGGCCCAGGTGGCCTGATGCTTTCATTGGGAAACAAATGAAAGCGTGTGTAGGTGTGTTCGCCTGTACACCCACAGGGAAGGAGTGCTGTTCAGATGTCTTCTATGACTTTTTTAGGTTTAGCTAAATGTGTAGATTTGCTCTTGGCAACTGGTCGTTTGCATTCTTAATATTTACTAATGCTTGTGTTTTACAAGGGTATTTGTGGAGTGTTTTTATGCTAGAAATGAACATTAGCTGGTCAAGAACTTTTTTTGTCTTTATATTTACTGACATAATCCATTTGATGTTTCTGACTCTTTGAGGCCTGTTCTACAGCAGCATTTGGAATGTTTTCACATCTTTAAACTGACCAGACGAACTTTCCCACCCTCTGTTTCCCTTCGCATTAATTAATTGAAATTGACACATATTAGACCAGAGCATACTCAGTGCATCGCTGCTGCTGCCATACAGGGTTCAAAAGTTCACTTCACTCTCAGAAGGCTACGATGCTGCAGAAAATGCTGATATTTGCTCTCGCTCCGTCTCTCGCTCATTTGTAATTTCACTGTTTCACCCAAACACGCTCTCACTTTGCCTCCTGCCCAGTATACTGATCATTCGGAAGAGATTTTCAACTGTTCATGTCATATCATTGTCAGTCTATTCATTGTGCAATGATGAGTCAACAGAGCGTACATCACTATATTCATCATGCATTTTCTTTCATTGGTTAGGAAAATATTGCTTCTGTGTTCAATATAATAAGTCTCGGTCTAGTAAAAGTTAGCGTGGGTGAGGAGAGGAAGTTTTTCATGATTTGCAAGGGATGAAATAAGCAGAATAGGAAGTCACAACCTTGAGTGTCTAATCTTCTTTGCAGCCTGTCAGTATTGCAGACAAATGGCAAAACGATTCAATGCTGTGGGTTCAGCTAGAGGTTAGCCTTCCCAGGTACCTCCAGCTCTCTCTCTTTCTCTCTCTCCTCTCTC